TTAACCCCAGGAGGCGGAGTCAGGTGTCTTACCTTGATGTTGTCCTTCCAGGGGTTTTCCTTCTGCAGCTTCTCGGCCTCCCTGGTCAGCCTCTGCGGAAAGAGACGCAGACGCATCAGAGAGGGAGCTCGGGCCAGACGGACCGGAGCGGCGGCAGGGCCACACAGACACCGCTGGACACATTTACAGTACCTGCCACGATTCACCGCCACCTATGCGCGGCTCGTTCTTTGCCTCTTTCAATCTGGCCTGACCTCCCACTTCGCTCTCTTCTGGGTTCTCATTCTATCATGCTTCTCTGCATGCTTACCTCTCTTCCCATTAACTAGTATTAACTGGCTTAAGAAACCTTGTCAAGCACTGCGCCATAGGCTGTTAACACATTTGTACACTACTTTAGACCAATTGATTTTATGTCTGGCTGTAAGAATAGGCCAACTCAATCTTTCCAGCACAAGAGCGACTGCTTTAATTGCAGCAGAGTACACACTGGGAAATTTAGGAATTGTTCTGATAATGTGTGAAAAGTAAAATGCATTCAGGGGTCTAAGGTCCCCTGGCTCTCAAGTGTGCTCATGGCTGTGAAGTGTTTACAATCGAATGCCTTTTTTTTACTGAAAAAAAAAAACAGCTCCTTGCAGGCTGAGTAGGACTGTGCTTTTGAACACTGTAGCTGGGTGTGCAAATAGTTTATCTATGATGGTGCAAGTGCTACTGTATTTCATCTAAAAGTAATGTGAATGTGAGCTCAACAAAATCCCCTTGAATGAAATGCATTTACAATTTCAAACATCTGATGAATATTTTTGTGCTTGTAGTAGCATTCCCATTTCCGCACAGAAAACCTACTGAAGTTGCTAAAAGCCTTGTCACCTGCAGCACCTCTCCCTGCCAAGACTCTTTTGTGAGCTAAAATAATGTAGAGGATTGCTCAAGGTGCTGATGGCTGTGATTCACCCCCCTCGCTCCCCAGCGGTCAGTGCAGAACCAACAGGACAGACTAGCGGAGCAAACATCCAGTAGGACAGAAGTCAAATAAAATGAAAGAAGGTATCTGAAGTGATGACTTGATGCAGTATCTGAGATCTGAATGGCACACAGACTCTGAGCCTGATGGAAACACCAGCAAAGGAAAGACACATCAGCGACACTCCACAGATCAACTGACCTTCGGAGTAAAGTCCTCCCTCTTTTCCCTGTGAGTCCGCGGAGGGGCGGAGGGGTGTACCCCCTAACGCTGCCCCCTCTCGCAGGCCCCCAGGCGCCAACACTGGCACAGTGCGCCCAGCCTGGAGAGCCATCTCGCCTTTGTTTTAAGATAAGGACTTTTCACATTGGTGGGAAGCGGCGACTACTTTTGTAATTTATTGCCGAGAGGAGCCACTTGTGACTGGGGCCCGCTGTGCGAGACGGGGGTCATATTTTATGAGACAGCCATTCCTCTTCCCCTGTCGCTGCCTTCCAACTCTGGTTAACGTCCCTGCGCCCTCTTTCGGGATAAAAGACGCATTTATCAATATTTGTAATCGTTTTTCCGACTCGCTGCTTTTACACACGATGGGTGTTTGCTGATGAGTGTCAGCCTTGCTTTTCTTAAGTGCCGTTTTGCGGTGCGACCAGGTGTCAGGTCCTCATTCTCTCTCACGCAACCCTCTATCACTCATCGCAAGGCTTATTTAGTGTCACCTGTCCTCCTATAGCACGCTGGAGTACAAGCAGGGTCACAAACAACAGAGGACCAGTCGCCCCATCTGTTGTATTTGACAGCTAGTAGCTGAGCAGTCTAAGCTGTTTGGTGAAAGAAACCAGGGCATCGACTTCAACAACCTGGCTTGATGGCTTGATCCAGACTCCCACAACCCTTTGTGTAAAGTGCCTCCCATGCACACCTTTTTGCATACAACATTTTTTCTATACAAAAGAAAGCAGTTACTTTATGTATGACAATATAATAAGAACACGGCAGCAGAATTTTTTCACAAGTGTCATACAGCATTATGGTTGCTTGCCCATTGTACTGCTTTCTTTGCAATACATGGAAGGGTAGGTTGTTACATACTCCCACAGTCCTTTGTGTAAGGAACTGCCTTCTGTTCTCAGTCATAACCTATTGCCACTTTCCAAGACCTGCATCGTCCCTTTTGGTTTTCCTGTTACCTATAACACAATCAAAGACCTGTTCATTGAGATAATACACAATTTGTCTTTTTTAACATAACTGCGAATTGTTCCTATTTTGCCCGCCTAGAGTGATGTGATCTTTGGGAAAATGCAATACATGCAAATTTGTCTGCTGTACAGTTCAGTTTTCCTTATACTTTTGCAAAGCAAGGGTGAGATAAGGCTCTCACTGCACATCAGACAAATAAACCCTATAATCCTAAAAACGCATGCGAGTGATTTCAAATCTGTTGTCACGCCTCCAATCAAAAACTGTCCCTCTCTTGTCGTTGCCATTTCCTGCACATTTCTCACTGTCAGCATCCCAGAGCCACAGCACTTAATAATCAACACAGAGCACACCAGAGCTCAGCTCTCCAAGATCTGCAATGCTTTGCTCACACATCACACATGCAAAGCTGGCTGGAGGCTAGTGCAAACTGTTTGTTGGACAAGAGAGTGAAAGACATATGGTCGGCTATCTGGGAGCACTCTGGCAGCTGACAAAACATTGAAGACTAGGGGCCATCTGAGAAACCCAGGCAGGAAACCCCTGCGCTGGCTTTGGAGGACAAGACTAGTACAGGACTGGGAACAGGCCTCCCTATGCTTGCAGAGCAAGATTGATCCGGGGCTGGGTCTGTGACCTGCTGGCTCACACACATGGCACTGAGGCAGTAAAAGTGAAAGAGTCATGGGTATGTACCACATTCCTCCAGCGCTGCCAGTTCATCTGAGGACATTCATTCACAATAACATCACAGGGGATGACGCGCCCGGATCAGGTCTTTCAGCTTACATGCAAGGGCCCGATCCCGGCAAAACCCGAGCTGGCTCAAACTGCTGTAGAATGGGAGCACAACTTCCCAACCTGTGATTTCTCCGTCCCCAGGATCCAAGCATTTACGATTATCCACACAGGCACAGGTCAGAGCTGCTAAGATGTGAAAATCGGCACCAAAACACTGTGAGTGTAAGCTTTGGGAAAACGCTGTGAACTGAGCATGCTGAAAACTAAGAACTCCAGTTTGCGGAGCCCAGACTTTGGCACAATTCACACGTCCCCTTCAGGGACTCACACGGGCTGGAAGATGGATTTGTGGTGCAGTGTTAAGTGCTACAAGAACACGCAACATACTGTACAGCCTAGCAACGGCTCAGGTATCGATTTTTTGTACTGTAGTTTTCACAGGCTCTCTTCAAAGCCAGCACACAGTTCCACCCCAGACTCAGCACATAAGCCAGTGAAGCAGCGAAGTAGCAATTAATCTTTAATAATTCCAAAGGTCACTCCCAGAGTGCTTGTGCAGCTCCATAATTCATAACCTTGCTTCTTGTATCACAGAGTCACAAAATGATACGCATGTCGAGATCTGCCAGCACTAATTTCTACCATTTTTTTTCCCCCAACTGAGTCAAGCCATTATCTTCGATATCCGCCGAAACAAACTGACGTCTGTCACTAGGAGCAAAGATGCTGTTTGTTAAATTGCTTAATGGCCTGAAATTGTTCCAATTAGCCGAGTTGGTAAAATGTTTTAGGGACGCTGTTTTTAGAGCCGTGTTATGATCGTGCATCAGCATGTTCATTTTGGTTGAGGGGACAAAAGGAGGGGGGAGATACAGTACCTCCAAGAGCAAGTGTTTTGACCCATTGCAATTTGTCCCTCACTTTCTGTAACCCCTAGACCTCTCTGAAATATACCAGTAGATTAAACAGTGCCAGGATTTTGTTAAATGCACATTTATGACTGGTAATGAAATCTGTCCTGCAGAGGGCTAATTACAGAGTGGAAGCTGTTAGAATATTTACAGCTCAGAAGAGGTGGACAGAGAGAAGGCCTGGCTCTGCTCTCTGCCAGTCCAGTTAGCAGGTGGAGGCTATTGATCCCTGTAATTAGATGACGAGGGAAGGAGCTGAAGTCAGGCTTTCTAATCAAGCGAGGGAAAGAAACAGCAAAGAGCTGAGGGAGATTTACCGGGGATCAAACTGCTATTCAACAAGAGAAATAAATTAAATCACAGGAAGACTTAGCAATGACAGCATCATTCCAAGCGTCCCGTCACAGCTCAGTGGGATTATCCCGGATCCCGGGAAGGACCAGCGATGGAGGAAGGAAAGAGATCTTTATCCTCTGGAGCTCTCCTGATGCATACAGCCTCTTTCTCCATTAGAATACAGGGACGCTGAAAGTGGCACATGGAACTGCTGTACTAGATACATTTGCAATTTACTTACTAATTCATCTGGCTGATGCTTTTATCCAATGTAACCAACATCTGTGTCCAGCTGGGTATTTTTTCCAGAACAGTGCGGGTGAAATACCTTGCTTTAAGGAACAAAAGCTGTGTCTCCCTTGGGATTCGATCCTGCAACCTCTAAGCTACATGTCCAGAACCTAGCATAGAAAACGACGGCCTGTGTGTTCTCTATATGACCAGCCTAATTGCAGCAGAACACTGCATTGCTTGGATTATGGATCGCGAGATGTCCCTCCCAGCTCCAAGCCTGGCGCTATGAAGTCAAAGCTCAGACTGCAGTCTGTTTCCTGTAGGAGTGAGAAGACTCCTGGTCACTTTTTTAACTGGCCAAGGCAGACTCAGCCTTTTAGAGGAAGGGGGTGAACATGCACCTGTCCAAAAGTGCCCAGGAGCCCATCAGGATCACTCCAGGAAGACGGGCAGAGAGTGCTCAGTAGAAATGCCCAGCAGCTCTTTACTAACCCCGGAGCTCACCAGAAAGAGCACAGCTGAAATGAACGTCACCATACACCACAGACTGAGCGCCTGTGCATGCACACGTGTTCAGACAGACCCGCCAACAGTTGATCGATTGGCTGATCGATTGTTATGCAGACATAACTTAATAGAGAACTATTACCTCTCCCTGTTCCACAATATGGAAAGAAAGGTACCACCATCTCAACAGATT